GAATGTTGTATGCCAAAGGTGCATCGACCACTAGGAACCTTACAGTGGTAGTGGCCTGGCAGGGAGAATCTCCTATAGTAAGCCTGAGCTAGATTGACCCCAAAGGTAACACCCTTTCCCTTGAGAACCCTAATAGGTGAGTACTTACTAGCTCTAGTTTGTCCCTACCTATATCCATCTTATCAAAGACATGGTATGTACTTCTAGTATCTTGTCAGTTCTGAATCTGCGCAGGTGAACCTTCATGGCTGAGCTGGACTCTCCGCCTCCTGCAAATCTTTCGAATATCACTCTGATCTCCCCCAGAGGTTGTTGAAGTTGTGCAGGGACATGCTGCTGAGGTGCTAGAGGTGCTGGAGCTCAGTTCTGATTATCATGCGCCATAAAGCAGCTTAACTACCCCTGCTGAATTAGGAAATTGATTTCCTTTTCAATTGGATGCAGTCATCTATGAGGTGGATGTGGTCCCTATGTTACTCACAATACTTTGTTGCATCCTTTTTCGCTAGATCTATCTTCATCCGAGGTGGCCACCTCAAGAACCTCTTATTCTGTAATTCAAAAAGGATCTAGGATACCGTAGCTGTGAATGGACTGAGCAGCCAAGGTGCATGCCTTGGCTGCAATTCTGGCTATGGAGGACCTAGGCGATCTATAACATCCCCCCTTCTTTTGGAGGAATGATCCATGTCTCTTCTTGGAGACCTATCTCATCCTTTTTCTTTTCTGGGACTTCGGTTCCTCTTCTTCTCTTTCTTCCCTTTCTCCTTCTGTGTGGATGAGCTCCCTACCTTAGAAAGGAGAGCTTCTTCACCATTAATAAACTTTTTCGCCTTAACTAACACTTCTGCTATACTTGCTTGTGGGTTTTTTATATGAAAAATATCAAGTCCTTCGACTGTACTCCTAGTCTAGCGATGAAAACAGTAATGGGGAATTTCTCATCTGGAACATCAATGTTTAGTGATTCTGAGTTAAACCTTTAGACATAAGATAATAAGTTCTCGTTGGGTCCCTATTTCAAATTTAACATATGGTAGCTCGGCTTTCGGTATGTTTGAGCTCCTATGATGTGTGACATGAAGGATATGGAGAGCTCCCTGAAAAAGGAGATGGATGTCAGGGCTAGCCTGTTGAACCATGCTAAGATTGAACCCTTTAACGTGATGGCGAAGGCTCGACATCGCATACGATCTTGATATCTGTGCAACTCTATTTGGTTCTTGTAGGTGTTGAGTTGATCCATGAGATCTTTTGTCCCATCAAAGGTCTCCATCTGAGGCATTCTGAACTTCAAAGGGAGGGAAAAGTGTAGTACGTCAATAGTGAAAGGGGACTCTATCTGCTGCACCAAGGCGTTCATGGTAATCTGAAAAAGGGAAAATATTGTAGGGTGAACATCAATAACTCAGTAGAATAATTCAATTCCAAAGCATGCGAGTTTGAAATAACATAATTTTACATGATTGGGCAATATCAAAATAGTTCATTTCATACATAAGTAATAGAACATAAATCATTGATAAAAAAAAAAGTTAAGTTTGTAAACAGTAATAAGATCACAAGATCAATAAAGTGTCACACCAGTGAGCAAATATCCTATCAGACCACTCAATGCCAAAACAAATATAACCTTTTAGGGGACTTCCACCCCAAGCAAGATATGCTCCCTAAATTAATTCAGTACCCAAGTCCGAAGACCAACAAGGTCACCCAAGCATTTATGAACTCAATGAGAAACCCTTTATGACCTAAATCTGGATTGTAAACCCTCTGTCACTCGACATGTGTGCACTTACATTTCATTAAAAATGATCTTGTATTTCCAATGATATAATAAATATAAACAATACTAACATTAGTGTGCACGACACTCAACATTTCCAAACCGGGTTCAGATTCCAAAACAAAATTTATAACACCCAATCATATATTTTAAAATATGTTAAAGCATCATAAATGACATATGGAATAATTTTAAAACATGTTAGAAAAGCATTACCTGATTCAGAATTGAGAAACCCTACCAATTGCTAAACACGTCTTGAAACTACAAAAAATAAAATGATCTTATTTAAAAGCGGTGAAAAATTGGTTTGGTCACAATCCCTCAAAAATTAGGTCAAATTGACCCCGGAGGGAAAACATATATTTCACACCACATATAGTTTCAAGTATCAAAATAAACTCAAATTTTACCAGGACCTCCATATAGATGATACAAAACTTTTGGGACCAACCAGAGGTCACTTGGACATCGGACGCACCCACACACACTGTCAAAGTGTCGAGTGGTCCTATGTATCGGTACAACAAACCTTGTACCGGTTCATCACACTCCGAAGGCCCTGGTACCGATTCAGCCTCTCACAAATCACCCATTGTACAGGTACAACCCTCTTTGGATTGTTTCATCCATTGTTTTACTCCCTGTGACTCCACTCCAACACCACCACAGCCTACGATAGACCAAACCTTACCTTGACCTTCTAGGAACACCTCAAGCAATAAAACCAAACAAAAACATCCCCAAACTCAAGACCCATTTCATGAAAAAACATACTCATATAAACTTTTAAACCATAAAACTTGCATCTACACTACTCTAAAGCTAAAACTAAGAGCATCTCCAATGGAGATCCTTACCCTTACCAAAATTTGAGTAAAAAAAAAAAGGGTAAAATGCTTGATTTGACATGGGTGTTTCCAATGGATAAACCTTTTTAAGACCCAAATCTTTTTTTAAAAATTTCCAGCTTATCCCAAAAGTTTTTTTTTTCATTTTTGCCTCCAAAACTTTTTTTACTCCTTTTTCTCTTCTTCTGTTCCTCCAAAACCTCTTTCCCCTTCAATTTTTCACTCCCTCCAAATCTCATTTCCTCCTTATTTTTTCCTACTATTTTGACTATTTCCCTCCAAATTTTAGTCAATATTTCCTATAAATAACCTATGTCATTCACATAAATTTTTATCATTCTTAATATAAATGAATCAATTCAAAAGTTCTTTGCTCACTTCCTTTTCATCTTCCTCTTCCTCCTCTTCTTCATCCGATGACAAGGAAATAGCTTCTAATGTTGTTGTTTATGAGACAAACAATTTCATAATGATGTAAATAATCAAAGAAGAAGTAGAACAACCAAACCAACATGGTGGTTCTGTTATTGGCCAAAAATACATTTGTCGGGAAAGAGAAAAGGGTCATGATCCACTATTTGCTGATTATTTTGCCGAAAATCCATTTTATCCACTTTGAACATTCTGAAAGTGATTTCGAATGTGACGCGATCTATTTATGCGCATTCTCAATGCTATTAAAGCACACAATCCTTATTTTATTCAAAAAGAGGATGCAGATCATGTTATTAGATTGTCACCCCTTCAAAAAATGACATCCTCAATTAGAATGCTTGCATATGGAATGCCAGAGGATGCTACGGATGATTATGTGAGAATTACAGAAAGCACGACAATCTTATGTTTTAAAAAAAATTGTCAATTATTTATTGATGTTTTTGGAGATGAGTACCTAAGATTTTGGGATCCTACAATACTTGGGGATATCATAAAAAATAGGCATTATTTTGCACAATATGATTGTTAAAGACGAATGAAATGGCTATAGAGATTCTGATTATAAACCATCAGAACATAGTCCATCAATAGAAGTTTTGCGAGAATATAAAATGACTTTGAATCCTTCATGTCTCACCATGTAAGAATTAGAGACAAGAATGCATATCATGCCCTCTATAATGACTTAATTGAGCATTTGTGGCAACGTCATAAAGAAATGTAACTTTTATCTACTTGTTAACCTATCAATGTATTAAGAATTTTCTCTATGGAGAGATTTAACTTTTATCTACTTGTCTACTTGTTCAAATTTTAACTATCAAGCAATCACTAAGAATTGTCAAGCAACAAAACAAAATTGTCATTACCTTGCAATATGATTGTCAAGCTATAAAGAGTTCAAAAGATATAATAATTGTTCAAAAGTTACAAGGAGTTTGCTCTCAAACAAAAAACATCCATTGGACTTAAAAAATTATGGTGAACAAAGATCATTGATGCATTGCTTCTACAACCATGTTCATAACCAAATGTTCAAAAGTCCCAAGTGTGGTGTTCCATTTTTTTTTTTTATGTAACCCTCCAACCTATTGAAAACCATAAAATGTTTGTCATAAAATGCTCTCAAACAACCCAAGTGCATAGCATCAAATATGAGCATTACATAAAAACCAAATACATATTTGCAAGGTTACTTCTGTAGCTTTACCAATTGGTGTAGCGAATTTAAAACCTGTAAGCACTTTGTCGATCAATTATCTTTCTTTGAAGCTCCTCATAGTATGATATTTGCATAGTAGTTAAATTGATCATATCCATTGACATAATTTTATGGCCCTCCTTTTGTTATTCTATTTCATTCAGCATTGCTTACATTTGTAGTTGGGTTTCCCTACTCCTAGCCTTCCTCTCACAATCTATTGCCTTTGGTTGATCATGTTAAATAAATTTATCAGACATACCCATCAACATTTCAGTAAGTTTAGTTTGATTGGTTGCTATATCATCAAACCTAGAATCATGAATTATCTTCTTCTTTCTTGATTCTTTCTCAATCATATTACCAATGGGTCATTTTGAGTTCTCTTTTGAAGATTTTTTGTCTCAAAATCGAGGGACAATGGAGTTGATGGGGTTCAAGATGATGAAGTAGGTCTCTTGAACTACGTTCTAAGTTCATCCTACTTACAACTGTGGCGCAATACTTCCCAACATTCATCATATGTAAAGTGTTTTTTTTGAATACCATAAGACATGAGTTTGGCCTCAGCAATTTGAAATATGAAAAGGATAAATGTTATAAACTACAAGTATTGACAACTTCTTATTTTTTTGTTCAAAATAATTACCTTACTAGCTTGCCCAATTCCACTTTATTGTCTCATTTATACTTGATCTAGAAAAGCACAAAACTAGTTCACTACCTTTTGAATCAAAGACCAATGGTGAGATAAAGAAATGGTAGTTCGATGTGGTAGAATAATCAGTTGGAACAAGAAATACCCAAGAACATGATCCCAGAATGCTGCCTTACTTTGGGTGCTACCGGAAACTGGATCTTGGGATACGGCCAACCATGATCTACAAAGTGCTTCATCTTCTGATATACTAAAAGCTTTCTCACGTACAGGAGCACTTTGGGAAATAATTTCGAGTCCATGAAACTCCTCTAAACTTGAAGAATTCTCAAATAGTTCATAACCATCCATTGTTTGCACTTGGAAGAATAAAACTAAACAAATAAACAAGAGCAAACAAGAAAGCAAATCCATGTAAATTCAATAAACCAACAAAATAAAACAAAGCAAAGATACTGCCTTGTGGTAAAGATACTGAAGAATACAATCCAATCAATAAGCAAAGAATGAAATATTGTTCTTTTTGCCCATTATGCATTTCAAATAATAGAACATAATTTCAAATAAGCAAATAACATAACACAATTGAATCAATAAGCAAAAAACATAACCCATTCCACATTTTATGCATCTGGACCAGAACCACAGCTAAGATTTTCAAAACTTTGTTTTTTCATTGTATCATTTAAGAAAAAAAACATACATGACAACCTGAATACTTTCTTTTCATGCTTTCTAAGAAATATTCAATTGTAACTCTAAATGTGAGTTTCTCTTTGAGAGCTTTATTCTCACTAGTATTATTGAGCACATATTCATGTACTATTATCCTAATATACACTTGAATCATGCTTATTGAACACCTCAAAATGATTACAGCTGAGGTTAGAATTTTGTTGGCTCCTTGATGAACATGCATCAAGTAGGATAGGTCTCATTACTCTTCTATTGTTGTTGGTTACACATTTTTGTTGTCTTATTTTTAACCTATACCAAAAATTTCAAAACACATTGCACAAATTTTTTTTTCCCATTTCACAATAAACAAAGCAAATCAATGAAACCCATATAAAAACAACAAAATTTTCCCATTCCACCGAATATAAATCCATATTTTTCCCATTCCATTGAAAACAAATCTATCTGTGTGTGTTTAGAAATTAGCTTGGGTAGAAGATGATTTTGTACAAATCTATGAAATCTATATTAAGATTATACAAATCTATATAATATTTTTTTAAACAAGCTTGTGTAGAAATCTTATCTCTGTCCCATTCCATCAAACACTGAGTGGAGTAGTGAAGAGAGGAGAAGAGAGAGAAAGAGCTTACATGATGAAGGAAGTACAGATGACCGTTGAGAACTTGGGTAGAAGATGAGACCGACAGCTGTTGAGATCAGGGTAGAAGACGAAGTCCTCTAGAGACATTTTAGAATTTTTATGACCATTGGAAAAAAAAGGTATGGTATTTGGGTCTCCCTTCATTAGGGTTTAGAAAAGGGTTTCCCTTCATTTAGTATGGGTAAAGGTCTACCATTGGAGAGGATTTTAAGTCATTTTTATCCAAATTTAAAATAAGGTCTAAAAGGTCAGGGCTGGAGTTGATCTAAGTACATACATGGATTCCTAGTGTCCAAATTAAGTTAGGAATATATCTCTTGATGTAATAAACAAACTCAGGAAAAACTTGTAATTTCTACTTCAACGTTTCCTCCTCTAAACTTCTTCCTTTCCATCTCCCTTTCCCTTTCTCTTTTCTTCTCCCTCCCTCCCTCTCTCTCTCTCTCAAATTGAATTTTTCCCCCTTCTTATACACCTTGAAGATGAGTCAAGCCTCCCGTGGAAGCCATGCAGAGCATCTCCTTCTCAAGGCGCCAACGGGGTTGCTTTGTGAGGTACTTGTCACCTCAAGGGAAATTCCATCATTTTACATTTTCTTAATTAATTTTGAAAGATTAATATAAAATATTTGTTTCCAGAAAATTATATACGTCTTAAATGAAGTACTAGGAAATTATTGATTTAAATTTTTGATCACCAAATTGACCCTCAATTTGATCCGCAACCAAAAATTCATGCACCCCTAATCACACATACACCTACTTCAGTTTTAAGTCTCCAAAATTTCAGTCGTCACACTTATGATTGTTATTCTGACATGGTATAGCCTCAACCCACTTTGAGATATAGTCAACTTCTGTCAAAATGTACAAAATGAATGGACCCATGAAATTGATACCCCAACAACCAAAATCTCAATGATAAAAATAGGGTTAAGGGGCATCATATTCCTATTCCTAAAGGTTATCCCTCCTAGCTTTTGACATAGCTCAGAAGCCTGACAAAAATTGTGTGCATCATTAAATAGTGTTGGTTAATAAAATTCACACTGAAAATTTTTTGTAGCAGTTTGCCTAGTCGAAAAATGACCTCCACAAGCCTCCGAATGACAAAAAGAGAGAATGTTGTTTACCTCATCATTTGGGACACACCTTCGAATGATTTAGTCTGGGCAATACGTGAACAGATAAGGGTCATCCCAAAAGAAACTTCTCCCCTCAACCAAAAATTTTGTCTTGTGCACTCCAAGTTGTTGGCATATCACCTGTGACAACAAAATTCACAATATCAGCAAACCAAGACGATGCAAAAATAGTGAATAACGGTTCATCAAGGAATGTGTCCTTAATCAACATAGTCATTATTGGCATATCACTCACAAGTCTAGACAAATGGTCAGCGACTACATTCTCTACTTTTTTTTTTTTTATCTTTTACCTTTGATGGTTATATCAAACTCTTGGAGTAGGTGGATCCACCTAAGCAGTCTTGACATTGCACCTTTCTTTGTTAGCAGGTATTTCAAAACTGCATGGTCAGTGAAGATAATAATAGGTGATCCCACAAGATAAGACCTAAACTTATCTAAGAAAAAAACTATTGCTAGTAATTCTTTTTTTTGTAGTAGAATAATTCATTTGCATGCTGTTCAAAGTCCTACTAGAATATTATATGATATCTGGCTTTTTCTCATTGTGTTACCATAAAACTACCCCCACAATATAGTCACTAGCATCACACATAATTTCAAAAGGAAGACTTCAATCTAGTGATTACATAATAGGAGCAGTAGTGAGCATTCCCTTCAGCTTATTAAAGGCTTCCTAACAAGACTCACTCCACTTGAAAGGTGTGTCTTTCCCTAGGATGTGGCAAAGTGGTCTAGATATAAAACTGAAGTCTTTTATGAACCTCCTATAAAAACCAGCCTGGTCGAGAAAAGATCTAACATCCTTAACAGTCTTGGGGGTAGGCAAGTTGGAAATTAATTCAATTTTAGCTTTATCTACTTGAATTCCCTCAGACGAGACAATGTGACCAAGAATAATTCCTTTCCGAACCATGAAGTGGCATTTTTTTCAGTTTAACACAAGGTTCTTCTCTTCACACTTGGTTAAAACTTTTTCCATATTAGATAAAATATTCATCAAATGAATCCCCAAAAACAGTAAAATCATCCATGAAAATCTCAAAAAAAATGATCAAGAAAACAGTCGCAGGTGCATTGCAAAGTCCAAAAACAATCCTTCAATAAGCAAAGATACCAAAAGCACAAGTAAAAGTGATTTTCTCTTGCTCCTCTAGGGCAATTTCAATTTGATTATATCCCAAAGCTACACTTTCTAAAATTTGATCCATAAAAGGCAAGGGAAAATGATCTTTTCTTGTCACAGAATTAAGATTCTTGTAGTCTGTGAACATTCTTCAACCAGTTATTATCCTAGTTGTTACAAGCTCATTATTGTCATTAGAAACTATAGTCACACAAGATTTCTTAGGGACTACTTTTGTGGGACTACTACTAGTTGTACGGTAGATGACCCCTACATCCAATTGTTTCAACACTTCATTCCTAACAACTTTATTCATATTAAGGTTGAGTCCCCTTTGCATCTCTCTAGATGTTTTGGCATTATCCTCTAAGAAAATCTTATGAGTACAAACTAAGGGATTAATACCCTTGATATCAGCAATAGTCCACCCAATTGCACATTTGTGCTCTAAAAAATGTGAAGTAACTTACCTTATTGGGCTGAGTTAAGATGGGATGAAATAATTACCGAAAAAGTCTCCACCAATCCTAAGAAAGCATACTTCAAATCAGTAGGTAGAGGTTTCAAGAACCTGTGAAGAATTCAAAATAGAAGTTACTTCATTAAATTCAGAATTTTCTTCACCAATATCTAAAGAAGAGTACTCAAGAAAACATGCTTCAAGTGGATCCGAACAAGAAGAGATATTTAAGTTATCCTGAATAATTGACTCAATCATGTTCACCTCATACAAGTCATCATCAACCTCCCCAGGGTGTTGACAAACATTAAAAATATTTAATTCGAATGCTATATTGCCGAAAGATAATTTCATTACATCATTCATGTAGTTTATCAAAGTACTAGTTATAACCCGCGCCTAAAGACATGATGAAATATAAGATTCTAACATTCAAAAAAATGATCTCATTATACCAAGTTTAAAAATTAATTTTTACCTATTATTTTCTTAAAAAGAGAGTCAAAATTTTCTCCAAATGCATAACTCAATAATTGTTTTTCAACATATGTACACTATCATGTATGAAATAAAAGTTGTGTTAAACTACAAATTAATTAAATATTAAATGATTGAACATGTGATAGAATTGAGTGATGTGATTTTTTTGGGGAGAAAATGTATAGGGGATAAAGATTCAACTTACAAGCTGATTTATTATATAGATTGGAAGTAACTAAGAGTGATCGGCCCAATATAACTGTAAGCTGAGCACTAATATTCAAAATAGGATGCGTATCCAAGATAATAAAATCAATAGAAAAATATAAATTATCTACTTGGACTAGCACATCCTACACCATCCCCCTTGGTATCCTAACAGATTAGTTAGCAAGTTGAAGTGTCACTGTGGTGGGCTTCAACTCCCCAAGACCCAACTGTTCATATACTGAATAGGGAAGAAAATTTACACTGGCCCCCAAATCAAATAAAGCTTGTTCAATTGTAAATTTTCCAATCACACAAGAAATAGTAGGGCAACCAAAATCCTTATGCTTTGGTGGGGGTATTGTGTTGAATAATAGAAGAAACCTGCTCAGTTAAGAATGTTTTCTTTTTCATATTTAGCATATGCTTAATAGTGTACAATCTTTTGATAATTTTGCATAAGGTATTAGTTTAATTGAATCTAACAAGGGAATGTTAATTTTGACTTGCTTGAAAATTTCCAAAATCTCATTGTTTAAATTAAGTTTTGATGGAGCAAATAATCTCAGGGAAGGAAGCAGGAATCAAACATCTCATGGACTCTATAGAATTAGGCTGGTCAAGTTTATCACTCTCTCCCGTTGATTTTGTAGATTCCTCAGGCTTTTGGGCCTTCTTTGGAATAGTTTTATCAATCACTTTACTACTACAGAGGGTGGTACCAAACTTGATTTGCTCTTGTGCAGTATCAGATGAAATAGACTCACCCACATTAAATTGACCATACGGATTTGGCGGCGATTATTCCAGAAATTTACCTTTCTCTTGATGTCATGCGACAGTGGCCAACTTAGTGGGGGTGCTTCTAATATCATTAAGAGCCTGATTTATCTTATTATTAGTGTTAGTATGACTATTGTTGAAGCTGGTCTGACATTGCACAAATTGTGGCATTGCCTCCTCAAGGCTCTTCTTTGGAGGTGGAGTGTAAGACACAAAATTAGAGGGGCCTTGTGGAGGTAATTGTGATGTAGGATTATTCCCCTTCCAGTTGAAATTGGGATGATTTCTTCACCCCGAATTCAAAGTGTTTGAGTAGGGATTATTGTATGGCTTAGAAAAATATTGATGTGCAATAAGATTTTTTTGAAAACAAGAATTGTGGGGCACTCCTTTGTGGGATGTTCTAGGACCTCGCAAATACTACAAATCTCCTCTTGAGGAACAACTTGTACCTCATTAATCTTCCTGAATTCCCTGGCCTCAACTTTCCTAAATAGTGTAGCAACTCTAGCACCTAGGTCATCCTCCTCTCTCAACTAGTATTTACCTCCTCCTGATGAAGCATTTGACTTTTTATTTTTACAAGAATCAAGGGATGAAGTATTCCAAGATTGTGCACTTTCAGCCAACTAATCAAAATAATCAAAGGCTTCATTAGATTCTTTGGTCATAAGTGCTCCATTGCACATCATCTCAACAAATTAGTGCATCCAAGTTGATAAACTTTCATAGAAAAAAACTTATAATGGTCCATCTTTCATAGCAATGGTGTGGGCAAGATGAAAGAAGATCTTTAAAAAAGTTCCCAACATTAATAAAAATTTTCATTCTCTTTTTGAGAAAAAAATCTTGATTTGTTTTTTTAAAGAATTTGTACTATGTGTGGGAAAACTTTTTCAGAAATTCCTTCTACATCTCTTGTCATGTACCAATTTCTTCTAAGGGAGTGCAGCCAAGTTTTAGCTTTAGACTTCAGTGAGAAGGGGGAAAACTTCAACTTAACTATATTCTCAGTCACAAATTGGTCATGAAATATGGCACAAACTTCTTCAAAGTCTCGAATATGGGGGTAAGGATTATCAGAGTCCATAAGATGAAATTTGGGAAGTAATGCTATCATGATAGGTTTAAATACAAAATTAGTGGCCTACAAAGGTAAAATAATGCATGATGGTGTAGTACGTCGTGCAGGCTGCAGATATTGTGTAAAGTTTTACCATGATTAACATTCCAATTATCAACATTGTTGTCATCATGATTACTCCTCCTGTCATTAGAATTATTAATATTATTTCTCCTATTAACAAGAAGATCATTAGCCATCATGTTATATGTGTGAGATTGTTCGTGAGAATTAAATAAATTACCAAAAACTTCTTCTAAATCTTCTCTAATAAACGTCCACTTGAATTACGATGCCAAGAACTCATACAATAATTAAAAAAGAAAGGGGTAGAAGCAGAGAGCAATAAATTAAATAATAGAAAATTAAATACCAAAAAATAAAAGTGAAACAAAGTTAGCAGATTTTTGACAAATTGCAACTAAGTAAGTCTCAATCGATGTAGCAGTGCTCTTTGTCTTCCAACAAGATCTTCGGCAACAACGCCAAAAACCTGCTACATCTTAAAACATGCAAACTCAAGTGTCATGAAGTAATATATAACCCAAAAGTACGCAGTCGTACCACAAAAATTTGATAAAAATGTGGAACACATAGAAAAAGAAAATAAAAATACTTTGAGGTTGTTTGAAATTGGTTTTATTCAAAAGCACAGACATTGGTTAAGTAAAAACAGTAATTTGAAATATTAAATCATTGAGGATAACCTTTAAAATCCACACGACAATTATTAATGCTCAATTTTCTAATTCAATTGGGAAATCAACTAAGATGATACCAATCAGAATATTTTGTGGTGATAAAATGAAAAAATTGAAAGTTATAACCAATAAATTATCCGAATAAATATAAGAATTCACATGCAGATTATAAGCATTCACCGTGCCCAAAGTTTATGATAAATTAAGTTCTCTAACAAATAAACCCTAAATTTATTGTAAATAATAAATTAATTATCTTATAAAGATTTTAATTAATTAACTCAAACATGGAATAACCAGTTATTTGACTCATAGAGAATCTCAAGCATTTGATGTACGTGACACGACAAATCAAGAAATTATACAAAACAAAAATTTTACTAGAAAATAAGAATTAAAAGAATAAATCCAACATTAAAATAATTGGATCAAAAATAAGTACCGTGTTTTATGTAGCCGGCCATAAAAACAATACAAAAAACTAAAAGAAACGAGGCTGGTAAAAAGTTGAATATAATGTAAAATTACACCCCTTTATAAACATAATTCTCGTTAACAACTTGTGGTACTAGGCAACTTCCAACACGCGTTTGGACGCTTGTATTCTTCCGTCCGGACACGCATGGTTGTCTTGGCCTCTAAGCAACACACATCTGAATGCGCATATTCTTTTGTCCAGATGCAAGCCTTCAAATTTTCCTTGACAATCTCTGGAACTTCCTATCTAGACGCTTCTCTTTCACCGTCCGTACACATTAGGCACAATGCTTCTTTTTAATCCATATTGATTTGGATCTCCTCCATTTATGTATTTTTTCCTTCACATTATTGATTCCACTAGTTTATCTGCAAGATATGACTAACACTACAAAGAGAAGATAATATCCAAATCTTAATTAATTCAACACAATTAATACCTTCCCCAAGGTAATTAGTAAATAATAAATATCAAAATAACACAATATATAAGGCTAATCAACCACTAAATATTTTAATTGGGATCATTCCTCAGTTGATTCTCAATTAAGTTTAAAAATTGGATCATTAATAATTGTCAATTGGAATTGGAAGAGTATCCCCGATGCTTTAGTATTTTAAATTTCTGTTTTTAATCAATCAATTTCTGTTCTTTTGAACAAACAAATCTCTATAATAATTTTCAAAGTATTTTTGTTTTATTTTTTCTTGTGTTCTAAGTCTATCTCAATTCCTTGTGGCATGATCTCAGACTTTCGAGTTTTATTATTTTGCAACAACCTCCGCTTAGATTTTACAATCTTTAAATTGTAGTATAAGACAATCTTAGAAAACTGTCTTTCACACTAATAAACCTTCCTATAGTGAAAAGTATCATCTTTCATCCAATTAGTATTGTGTTGACCACTGCTTCATTTAGATTATGTTCAGGCCTAGGGTTTTTGGGAATTGTTTTAATTTTTTTGAGATTAATCCTTGACTATGAGTGATTATATTTTATGTAGCCACAAATATTTCTCTGATACAAAATTTGTTGAGAGTATATAGTTGCCCATTACTTCACCAACAACGCAAAAGAAACACAAAACAGAGCAAAAAAATACGGGACAAAAAATTTGCTATACAATATCACATATAGACCTTCAAAATACTTTTTGTATCACCAAAAAAGATTCAGTACAATATCAATAAATACAAAGAATCACTTACCTTGATAATTTCCAGTAACACAAAGGCACAAAAATAGCCTTCAAAACCTCACAAATTGAGCTATTGCACCCCTTTTTTTAAGCAACTATCTTTTTAGGAGAATAAAATTCAATTATTTACTAGTAAAAAAACATGAAAGAAATGCACTCCCAATGTCTAGCTAATCGCTCTTCCAACTTAAAAGGGAAGAACCTCTTTGTATCCTAGCCGTCATAAAAGACCATTGGTCCACTACAATTTATATAAAGAATTCATTTTTTCTAGTTAAAAAAATTGACTTAACATTCAAGAAATTTTTTAATATATCTATATAATAAAGTATAAAGAGTTTCAAACCCCAAACTCATCAAATCGTTCAAATGCCTCAAATCATTTCAAAATTATTGATCCAACGCACCATATTAACCCTTGAAAAATTTAAACCCGCCTAAATCTTTTAATTTTGGATTTTCTTAAATGACTCCACCATCTATGCCTTAATCATTCACGTTTTTGTATGTCCCTAAAATTTTAAAATTTTAGAATCCCTTAAATCTATCCACTCTCGAGCATCAGCCCCTTAATGTTGTTTCTCTATTGCCATTCTCCTATCTCTTCACCCTGTTAGCGTCACCGCCAATGCTAAAGCACACCACCACCATCCTCCCAGCCACCCTAACTTTAAGGTAAGTATGTTTCTCTCTTTGACTCTCCTTCTCTTCTTTACTCTTCCATATCTCCTTCTCTCCCCATCTCTCCCCCTACTCCTCTTCTCCTCTCCTCTAACGCTACGCCAATCCAACCCCAACACATTATCCCCATCTTCTCTGCACGTAAACATACACACACTGACCACCCCAGAACACACCCCACACATACACCCATATCCATCGCACACACTCACCCAACACACACTCCCCTCGCACTTGCATAATCACATCACACGCATGCGACCAGTTCGATTAATTCCCATACCTAGCATACACAAAACATATAGAACAAACACAACAAACACCCCCACACCCCATCATGAGCACGCGCACAAATACACGTACAAGTTGGTGTTCTTCTCATTAGATGTAAGGGTGGGTATTAAGGGTGTTTATTTATTTATTTTCTTTGTTATTTGGTTAAATATTTGCTTTATTGTTTACCTTGGTTTTAGGTTCTATTTTTGTTTACCTTTGGTATTTGTTTGTTTTTGCATTTTTGGGTGTTCTGATATGTGGTGTTTGGGTTAAAATGGTGTCAGAAAAATGTATGGAAGGGGTAACAGTGTGGCATGACCTCTGTTGCAAAGGACTAGGTAAAATATGATTTTTGTTTTGTTTTAGCTATATCAACCTACATGGGTTAAAAAATCGAATGATATTTTTGGATGTTCAAGAATCCCAGCACCACACCACCACCGCAACAACCAACCTCCAATGCCACCAATGTTCAAGGTATCTCTCTCTCAACAACCCAACCATTGTCTCTCCCTCTCTTTCTATCCTCCCCATATGCACACACACACCCACACCAACCCCCCTTATAATTGTCTTTTTTTGTTTTTCGATTTTTGTGTTTAGTGGTTGTAGATGTAAAAGAATCGATTAGTAAATGTCATTGCAGCTGGCAGCGTTGATGTCCGGGCTGGGTTAATTCCAAGTTTAAATTTGCTCGCTCTCGCTTTCTCTCTCCCACTCATCTCATGTGTTTTTATTGCTCAAGTACGATTGCCTCACTACAAATTTCAGATCTCTTTACTTGTTTTTTTTCTTATAGAAGTGTACCAAACAAATTTTGCTGCGATTTTCCTGAAGTGTTCTCTGATTTCTCCCTTTTGTAAAGTTGATAGAAAACAAACCATGAACAAATCCAATTCATCTAATCAACAGAATTTTGGCAAATCAAACTCCAACAAATCTAGACCTATTTGTACTCATTGTGGAATTCAAGGTCACACCATTGACAAATGTTACAAACTCCATGGCTATCCTCCTGGATTTCGATTTACAAAAGGAAAGAACAATTCCAAATCTGTAAATTAGGTGGCAGGAAATATTCAGAATGAAACAGAAAGTTTGGTTATAAATGAAGACAACAGAGAGGATTCTTCATCTTTGCGAATAACACAAGGGCAAATTCAACAATTATTGACTCTCCTTAAGTCACAGCCTCATCTTCATGATCCACCCTCACCACATCAAGTAATCAGTTCTCATACTGAGTCTCTTTTCAACATGTCAGGTGAAGTTCTAAATACCTTGCATTATTCAAGTCATGATTCTTCTTATTTCTTCTCATCTCCATGGATAATTGACACTGGAGAAACATATCATATTGTTTGCTCAATGTCCTCTTTATCCACTGTGTCAGGTGAAGTTCTAAATCTGTCAAATTGCCTGATGGAAGTCTTATTGTTGTAACTCACACAAGCACAATTAAATTTTCTAATTCCTTTATATTGACTAATGTCCTTTGTGTGCCTGCTTTCAAATACAATCTTCTTTCCACTAGTAAACTAACATAACAAATTTCTTGTTGTTTTCTATTTCTTCATGCTCATTGCTTCATACAGGACCTGTTAACATGGAGGATGACTGGAATGGGTAAAGAAAGCACAGAATTGTATTTTTTACAGACAACACAACCACATAAAGTTTCCACTATTTCTTCTATTCAATGTAACACAGATGTATCTTCACATCTATGGCATTTTCGATTGGGACACTTATCTCAACAAAGGCTAGATTCTTTACAAAGAACAGTCCCTAAAATTTCAACTTCTAGTGATACTCATTATAGCATTTGTCATTATGCTAAGCAGAATAGGTTGTCTTTTCCAATTAGCACTAGTAAAACATTTTTACCTTTTTAATTATCCATTCTGACATTTGGGGACCTTACCTTAGTCCTTCTATAAATGGAGCACATTACTTTCTTGCAATTGTTGATGATTTTACTAGGTGTACTTGAGTTTATCTCACGAAAACTAAATCTGAAACACAATCTTTGATAATGTCTTTTTATGCTCTCGTAGAACTCAGTTTAATGCCAAAATTAAAGTTATCAAATCTGACAATGGTCAAGAATTTGTCATGACTGCTTTCTTTTCTCCTAAAGGCATTATTCATCAATTGAGTTGTGTTGACACACCACAACAAAATGGGGTTGTGGAAAGGAAACATCAACACCTTTTCAGGCAAATCCTCCAATTTCTTTTTGGGATTATTGTGTTTTAACTGTTGTTTATCTCATTAACAGAATTCCAATTCATTCTCTTTCTAGAAAGTCACCATTTGAGGTTCTATTTTCTCACAAGCCTTCATAATCTAATTTAAGAATCTTTGGTTGTTTATGGTATGCTTCAACTCTTAAAATACATAGTTCCAAATTTGATTCTAGAGCGAAGCAATGTGTTTTCATTGGCTATGCATCAGCTAGCAAAGCCTATAAACTGTTTGATCTCCAAACTCATTCAATTTTTTTGTCCAGAGATGTCATCTTCTATGAAACTATTTTTCCTTTCTCACTACAGAACACATAGCCTTCATCTGATGCAGAATCATTGGTTTTACCTTCTGCCATTTCTGACAATGATTTGCTAGCAACACCTACTTCCACTTCTGATGAAGTTTTTTCGTCTCCCATTTCTGATACAGTACCTTCTTCTTCTTCTGACATCATTTCTATTCCCAATACCACTAGACATTCAATTAGACCACGGAAGTCTCCTAGTTACTTACAAGATTACCAGTGCAATCTTCTTGCTTCTCACACATCCCATTTATCTTCCCTGGTTACTAGTTCCAACCAGTCTATAGGTATTTCTCATGCTCTTTCTTAATTTTTTTCCTATAACAAATTATCCTCTCCCCATATCGAAAACCACAATTTTTTTCATGAGGCTGTTAAATCCCCTAACTGGTGTGAGGCAATAAAGGTTGAGATTCAAGCTCTTGAGTCCAATAACACTTGGACTATCACTACTTTACCCCCAAGAAAACAACTAATAGGTTGTAAATGGGTCTCCAAAATCAAGTATAAAGCAGATAGGACCATCGAACGTTATAAAGCAAGGCTTATGGCTAAAGGATATACACAACAAAAAGGTTTAGATTATCTAGAAACATTATCTCCTGTGGCCAAATTTTTTGCTATCTGATGTCTTCTAGCAGATGCTGCCATCAAGGGGTGGCATTTGTTCGAAATGGATGTTCACAATGCTTTTCTTCATGGAGATTTAGATGAAGAAGTATATATGAAGATCCCTCCTGCCTATGATCAAAAGGGGGAGAATCAAGTTTGTTAGCTAAATAAGTCTCTTTACAGCCTTAAGTAGGCTTCCAGATAGTGGTTCTTTAAGCTGTCTACTGCTTTTCTTTCTTATGGATTCTCACAATCCAGACTATTCTCTTTTCACCAAGTCAATTAGTTCTATTTACCTGGCATTATTAGTCTATGTTGATGACATTGTTATTGCCACTGATGATCTTCTTATAGCTAATGATGTTAAGCTTTTTTTTTACAATAAGTTTCACATCAAAGATCTTGGTAATCTAAAGTTTTTTTTAGGAATGGAAATAGCTAGATCTTCCAAAGGGATTTTTGTTGGTCAAAGAAAATTTTCACTTGAATTTCTACAAGATCTAATCTTCTTGGATCTAAACTAGTTAAGTCTCCTATGGAACAACATTTAAAGCTTTATAGAGATGATGGTCCAGCTTTAGCAAATCCTTTTGTCTATAGAAAAATGGTAGAAAGATTATTGTATCTCACTTTCACTCATCCTAACAATTTCTATGTTGTTCAAGTGCTTAGTCAGTTCATGGATCAACCTAAGCAACCTCATCCTGATGCAGCCTATCGAGTTTTGCGTTATCTCAAGTCCTCTCCTGCTCAAGGTCTTTGATTCTCTACTACTTATGCACTACATCTTAACAAATTTTGTGATGCAAATTGGGCACGTTGTCCTGATTCTCGCAAATCTATCACTGAATTTTGCATTTTTCTTATAGACTCTCTTATCTCTTGGAAGTCCAAGAAGCAAGTTATTGTTTCTCGGTCTTTTGCAGAACCAGAATACAAAGCCATGGCCATGAATGCTTGTGAACTCACTTGACTTCTTGCTTTGCTTGCTGACTTTCAAATTTCTCACCCCCAACCTGCTTTGATTTTCTATGACAACAAAGCTGCTCTACATATTGCAGCTAATCCAGTATTCCACGAGCATAGCACATTGAACTCGATTGCCTCTTTATTCGTGACAAAGTTTAGGCTGGCATTATCAAGACTCTTCATATTACCTCTATTCATCAACTTAGTGACATCTTTACTAAGCCTCTTGGAGTTCATCAGCTTCATTTTTTGTTAAGCAAGATGGGAGTGCTTGATATCCACTCTCCATCTTGAGGAGGACAATTGAAGAATATAGCAGAACAAAGTACAACAGAGGCAGTCGCAGCTGACAACAAAAGAAGGAAGAAGAATTAGTTATTTAGTTATAGTTGGTTAGTTAAAGTCCAGTTGGTAGATTAGTTAAATTGGTTGGATTAGTTAAAGAAGTTTGTTAGATATTTCATTTAGTTTTTTGTATATAAATAGGAGCTGTAATTGTTTCTTTTCAAGACAATGAGAATAATGATTGCTCTACATCACTATATCTCTCTCTCTCTCTCTCTTTCTCTGTGATCTCTGCCCAAGCCTTCGCTCCATGGACTAAGCCTCAGAAAATTTTTCATTAAAAACCATACAACATTACTTCGGGTCGGGTCATCATCCGGATCACATATACAAACTAGACTCCATAAAAAAAAAAACCAGCAATTTCAACTAGGGCCCAAGTCGAAGTGGTTATTTTACAAAGTGCCTACCCATAGTTGGCGCACACACATGCACATTGTTCACACAAACCTCTTAGACTATGATTTGGTACACGTGTTGTGGCATTTTAATAGCTGCACTTTTTTATCGTCAAAGCAAGCAAGAGTATTGTAAAAATTTGAAGCATTTCAACAAAATGGTTTTCAATTGGTTTAATTGTTCGTATGTTTACGATTAATATTTTTCGGAAAGTAAAAATTCAATAGATCAAAGCAGAGAACAAGGAAGGGAATGACCCCTACAAAACAAACACGTGGGCCATTCCAGAGCCATGAAAAAAAAACCAACCAAGCTATAAAGAACACTGGCCAAGCAGAAGAAGAACATAAATAGGTCATAAAGAACACTGGTCAAGCAGGAACAGAACAAACGAAGTGCCCAAGAGAAAGAATTTAGAAGGAAGTGGAGGCCTTGAGCTTAAACTTCCAAGTAAATTCCTCACCATAGGTGGAAAACAAACATAGACATGAGCAGCAGGATCACCATTAACGTACTATGAGCAGCACCAAGGGACAACACCAAGGGACAGCACTAGGGAACATCAAATGGAAAGGTGGTGATCAAAAAAACAGACACAGCCACAACTCAGAAAGTTGTGACCCAGCAAATGAACTACTCTTGGAAAGCTCTTCTACCCATTCAACTGGGCCTTCACTCATGAGAAACCCCTTTGTCTAAGGATTGCAGAATATACATCGCAGCAGATACCTCTACTACAGTACATCAGCAATGACCTCTGAATTCGATAGACCAAATGACGTGATTCAAAAGCAACCCACGTCAGGCCGTTTAACCGCACAAAAGTGGCCATTATCGCATTCATAACAAAAAACACATGGACCATTCCAGAACCATGAGAAACTCAAACAAGCCAATAAAGAACACATTATCGTAGTGAGAACAACACCAAAGGACAGCAACAAGGGGCAGCACCAAGGAAAACCATCACGTGAGCTAATAGAAACAAAAAGAGGGAAGGTTCCCCAACTGGCCTGTAAGAAGGTTGCTTGTGGAAGCCTTGAATTTCAAAGTTGACACTCTATTTACTATTAATATTATTATTGACAAATAGTTGTATTTATCCAATATTGTGACGTGATGGTGGGTACACCTAGAGTATGGTCAAAAAACAGGTAGGTTATTTTTAGTGGGCCCGAATTAATTGTAAATTGTGTAATTAAACAAAAAAGAAGTAAAAATATTTCAAATAATTTTTTTTACACAGTGCCTTTGGTAATTTGTTTAGGTCATATTTTTTTAAATAAAAATATGTACTAATTACTAATTTGATTTTATTAATTGTATACTCATATTTATATGGTTTAGGAGTCTGGTTTTTAGATAACATTCCTTTGAAATTTTTCGAAAAAGTATTGAGTTTTTATTGGTTGACAATATTTTTTGTGTTGTGAGTAATGCTACGGATAATTGGTTGTGATTTTTTGTTTGTTACATAGTGTCTTTAGGAACAAACAATTACTAATATATATATATATATTTGGATGGATCCCTTATAGTCTATTTTTTGGAGTTTTTTTTTTTCTTGGAAGTTTGTTGTGGGGTCTCCTGTGGAAATAAAGTAAATATGTAAAATACTATCATGACTTACGTGTCTGGGTAGAAACCTCAGTGTAACGTCAGTCAAATAAGTCCATGGCCAAAACATGTAGATTTCTTCTGTGTTGCCGTGGCCTAGATGCTTCTTTTTTGGAACCAAGCAGATAACTCAGATACTATTATGAATTATTCCTTTTTCTTTATTAGGTGATGAAAGATAAGTCCAGTCAAGTGGAACATTCTTATGTAAATCCAAGTGAGAATGTTCGAAAATTCCGCTTAGAGACGATACATTAAATCAAATTCAAAACTGACAGGAATTTAATAAGTTAAGTTTAACTAGTTTTCAATGTAAACTCATAATACTACGGCTTGATAAATGAATAATAAGTGTAGCAGTTTATTATCAAACTAAAGGTAATTCGTGCTTAAATGTACTGTGCAACATTCATGTTTTCTCAATAGCCATTTTTAGAGAGTTCCATCGCCGTCCATGTTTTCTAAATAGTCATTCGCTGTGGAACACTCGACTTTCCAAGCAAAGTCGAGCTCATCAGAGGAGAGATCTGTCATCTTATTTATTATGCTTAAATCATCCCGCACAGGATTACAATATTTCTTAAATATTATTTAACCTTGCTAACATTTGATCCAGATTAAAAAGAAGAAAAGTTCATCAATTGCATCTCACAAGAGTCTAAGACCATAAACTGCCCATGGTGTTCCTCCTGCAACACAAAGCACTGCAAACATGAGGTTTTCAAGTCAATGAACTCATGGAACTCTCTCAAAAACTTAGAAATTATTAGAACTGTAAGGAATTTTAAGCAACCATATTTTATTTTGATAGTTCAACCATATTTTAATGTTTTCTGGCTCAACTTTTGAGTTTGTGGAATGACCTTGTATATGTTGATATGATATCAGTTTTAAGAGCAATGTTACATGGACTCAAAAAATAGACTTAAAAATTAGACTTGATAATCTCAACCATTGATTTCACTGTAGGTCTCAGTATTTATTGTGACCCACTACCTATTCAATGGTTGAGATTATCAAGTCTAATTTTTAATTTTTAAGTCTAATTTTTAAGTCCATCTAGTATTATTCCAGTTTTAATGGTAGTTCATAATTGATGAACTTTTGATGTAAGCGCCGAAACTCTTTTATTAAAGTTTTTGGCTCAACATTGGAGTTTGTGCAATGATGTGTGCATTGTATGAAATTGATATTCATTCCATATGCAC